TTTTAAAAAAATTACGTAAGAAATTTTATTTCAATCGATATCTGTAACGATTTTAAAGAACAATACAATAATAAAATCTAAGAGGCCAAAATTTTTACGTTTAAAAATATGTACTAAATTGTGCAGCTTTATTTTATTTGTTTCATCGAAGAAGGATTGGAGCTTAAAACCTCTTAGGTTGTTTGGTTGATTTTCTATTAAGTTATAATAGAATTGTACATACGTATCAATTAATTTATCTGTATAAATTATTAATATTTTTGTTTGCGAGAGTTTTTATATATGAAATAAATGTGTCTTTTAATCGGGAGGAATGAGTTTAGAAAAAAAAAAACTTGGTTTTCTACATAAAATTCCTCCTTAAAAAAGTTACCGAAGAAGTCACTTTTTATATCATTAAGTCATTATCAAACAATTATATATAATTAACCAAATAAATTATGAGGTCAATAAATTTATTAAGTTGTTAATTAACAAAGAGTATCCTAATTCTTGTGGTATATAGAGGTGGATAAGGTTAGAAATTCCCTTAGCATGCATTGGTCTCTATGTCAATATTCAACCTCTTTTCATTTTCGGACTGCTTATTTGAAACAACATATGTTTTTCTATAAAAATGATTATTAACTTATTATAAGTTAGAATGATTTAATTTTTTTTAAAACTTCTTATCACCGGTTTGTCATTGGTATAAGTTGTTTATCCAAACACTCAAAAATGTTTATTACTAGCATCACACTGGAATAAGTTAATAAGTTATTTTATAAGCAATCCCAAACACCTTCTTAATATTTAGATATTTCTCTCTCTCATTTTCTCTTTAATAACAAACATATTTGTCTGGGTCTCAGGAATTTAAGTTGAGCCTTGTGAAATTTAAGCCCGTAATTTTAGTAAAGACAAGTTTATATGATAAGCTAAACATTTTGTAGGAAGACAAGAAGTTTTAATATCATATATGATTACATACATGATATACAAACTTAATCATATATGATTAAACACATGTTGCATTAACACCACATAGATGCTTAATCATATATAATTAAAATACATCCAAAGAAGTGTAATCATATATGATATTGAAATTTTTCGACTTCTCACAAAATATTTAACTTCTTGCATAATCATTTTTCAGTTTTGATATTGATGTCAAATTTAAAACACAAATATTTCAGAAAATAAACTATTGCAAAAATCAGCATGTATTTTTTTCTGTGGCGTCCTAATTAAACATGTTGACCATGCATAATGGTTGCCTATTATAGCTTTTTGATGGGATGAAAATGTAATAAATTTATCAAATCAAAGTCAAAAGTGTAAATTCCATAAGCATTAACCATGGTAAGAGTTATTGCTCTTACTTCCTGGGTAAGACTTGGTATCTGCCTTCGTTCTTACTAGGTAAGATTTTTTGTTCTTGTCATATTCATGCGGTAGGGTAATGTAACTTGATAAACACTTATCCGGATAAGCATTTGGCAAATGGCCTAAGGCAACCTTAAGTCTAACATGTCATAATCCTTAAAACCAAACATTTAATATTGAAATAATTAAAATACATCATAAATCGAAGATGGTCCTCCAAAGAACGATTGAAGAATGAAGATGATGCATTCATATGAAGATATTTAGACCGTGCAGATTGAAGAACGACTGCTGCTAATGACAAAAAAAAAAAAAAAATAAGTCAAGTAAGAAGATAAATACGATCATCAAGAAAAGTTAATTGTTCGCCTAACGAGCAAATCATTATATTGTTAGAGTTTCTTGCTATGTTTTTTGAAGTGAATTTGTTAAGCTTAATCGATTGTTATGATTCACATGTGAATTCATGGTTAGAAAACCATTTAAAGATAAATGGCTTACATGTCCCCTTGATGTTTTAACCAATAGAAAATACATGAGTGGATTGTCATCATCCAATGTTTCATTAATGTTTACACATGAATATGCATATATAAACCATTGATAGAATATGGATATATATCAACAAAATAGGAATGCTTTTTACAAACACGCATATGTGAATCTACACCACATTACTTGTTAATTTGAAGTATAAAAAATAAAGACATGATTCACATATGCATATATCATTGTGGTTGGAAAACCAAAAACAATAGGAGATATATGATGATTATTGCTAATGAAGATGCACATGTGATGAAATTGCATATTAAATAATTGTTTTAAAGTATATAAAACAAACATGAATTCATATATTCATATTCAAACAAGGCTTCATTTCTAGTAAGATGACAAAAAATTGAATCCAGATACAATGATATAAAAAATTAGATAAACTAAGGGGCTGTTTACTTACAGTTTAATTAGGCTTATTGGTCTATCTGGCTTATTCACACAACTCATTTGGGTTGTTTACTTATGGCTTATTCGCACAGAACATGACTTAATCGCACAAATAGAAATGGTGTATTGTCCTCATTCAGCCACAAAAATTACCTCTACCCCTTATTTAAAGCACCGCATCCTTCCCATGTGAGACACCACATCTCCGACCTCTTTATGATTTTTTGTTTTGATGTTCAAATAATTAATATTGGAGGGGTAAATCGGTCATTATGTTATTCAGACTGTTGATTTAGATAAATAAAAAAAAAAGTAAACAACAACACTCATTTATCCAGACAAACAAATTTATTCGGATAGATAAATTTATCCATACATGACTTAATAAAAAATTTAGTAAAAGAATTGATTTTCTTAAAGATAAATAGAAAATTCTAGTTTTTCCATAATTAATTTAATTATAAAATATCTCAATATCTTTTATTTAATTAAAAAAGGAAAGTTAGCTTTAAGTATTTAAGTCAAAACAACTTAAACGAATAAGGATTATTCTTAATTGCATTCTCAGACTCTATGTTATATATTGATGCTTTATGAAAGTTGAAGGGGTGGAGTGTAAACAAATCCATTCTTCAAGGATGAAAGTTGAAATTTGATGGCTAAATGAAATATCTCCTCACTTCTTCCTATCAGGAATTGTTATGTTTCCTATGGAAATCCATTATTTGATTGTTTTTGGCTTTGGATTTAAAATTTAATCTGTGTTTTCCTCGTGAATTCTTTGGATTGAATGTTTTCCTCTAGATTTTTGGGTTTTAGTTCTTACAAGAGGGTGATCTATGGTTGTGTTTTGAGACGTATAGGTGGATTGATAATATATTGGATTGACCATTGATTCGAGTTATTAACGGAAGAGGAATATGATTTTCTGGTATGATTTTGGGGTATCAAAAGCAATCAACACGAAGACTTAGGTCGTGGTGCAAGTCGCGTACGCCGCTATTTTCACCACGCTCTCGATCGTTTTGTTTCTCGATTCGGGTGAGGGTTGGAGAATTGTTTTAGAGTGTTTCTTGAAGGGTTATAGAAAGTGCTTATTGGGATAATTAAAGTGGTTTAACACTTTTTATAATCCAATCAATTCAGGTTTTCGGTTTGTGGTTCCTAGTCGTTAGCGCTCTTGGTGGAGGGTCCGTCGACAGGTGAGTTCTCTTCCCCTATTTTATTTTGTGCGTGATTGGTTTATGACCATTTTTAAGTATTGATCATGGTTATTATGTTATGTTCTCTATGTATCTTGTTTATTCACTGTTATGCATACCTGATGAGTTGTATGAGTCACAAATAGTTATGGTTTGGACTTTCACAGTGGGAGTAGGATACCGTTCTATGTGAAACCATTAGGATTTCAACTCCCAACTACTTCTCTCATGATAAAAAGTTATAGCTTTTGATTTTCTGAAATTGCTTGAAATTCCCAACAGTTCCAAACCGCCATTACGAGTCATACCATTTAAGGTCAATAAAATCAGCCAGTAATTGATTAGGTACCATGAGATAGTTAAGATGTCACGGGTGTGATAATCTCCGTGTGCATCGAATGTGTTTCTTGAGCACATTACACCATCTACTGGGGACCATATTTGTGTTTGTCACAATGGAGTGATGGGTGTGTCTGCAAACGTTGTGCAATGTTCTGGGGAAATATATGTGGATACTGCTTCGGGATTGATGTTTACATAGATGCCTTTATGTATAGATTTGTTTTATTCAACTACCGTCAAAGTAAGGGAATTCATTAGACCTTTTTGGTCTAACCTTTGATTTTCTAGAACCAAACCATTCTTCCAAGGGAAAGCTAAAGCTGTAACGTTCCTCTTACAGTTGGTTAATGATTCAGTCAAAGACTTACCTTTAGTTATGTAATAAATCTCAGTTGTGGAAGTTACTTACCAGCTGTAAACACTTGAGATGTAACTACGAAATGTTTGTACTCGTAACCTTTGGTGCCAATTTGCCTCTTTTATGTTAATTGTCGTTATTTCAGATTTTGATTTGTTATAACGACATCTTTTACATTACATGAAAATTTGTTCCTTTTTAAAGAATTTGATTCATAGTTAATAGTAAAGGCGAAAAAAGTAGCTTTGAGGAGGTATCATAGGTACGAATTATTTTCAAGATATTTTCATAGATATCTATCCAAAAAGATAGAAAAAACAAGTAACGGTATAGCCGATAGACTTTCCACCCTTGTCCATAATCCATTGACTTTCTGTTTATTAACAGTTTAATTAACTTATTTATTAGATTATTTATGTATGATTGTTTGTTAATAACTTAATAATAAAAAAACAACTTATTCATTAAAATTCTAGAAAAGCAGTTGTTAGATTGTTTGGTGTAGAATGATTAAAATACTCTTATTATATAGTGTAAATAAAATATAATTATCTGGTAATTATTTCCAACAAAAGGGTTCTAAATGATTAAGGGAAACTCATGGTATAAAATCATTCAAAGGGGTTTTAGAACCATTCAAAAACAGACTATTTTTTTTATCAAACAAAATTTACCTTTTAATGATTCAAAAATAAACTCTTAATAGAACTATTAAGAAGTAAACCAAAACTCAAACTTTCCTCCTTTTAAAAAAACACACACACACACATGTGAAATCTATGAAAAAAAACCCAATCGATCAAATACCCCTGAAATAGTTCTCTTTCTACCAACATTGGCACATTGCATTCGCATTTCGCAACTTGAACTCCGACGGCTAGGGTTTGTCATCAAACCCAAAGGAACTCTTCGCAGGCATCATGCGAGCCAAGGTACAAGCTTCAAAATCTGAATTCTGAAGTCCAATTGTGTTTTTGTACATGTATCGATTCTATTTCCCTGAAACTGTTTGTTTGACTTTCAGTGGAAGAAGAAGAGAATGAGGAGATTGAAGAGGAAGCGCCGAAAGATGAGGCAGCGATCGAAGTAATCTGGTAGTGGTGAACAATCTCATCTGTGTCCTTTTCATATTTTCTGTGTGAACTCTGCTTGATCAATACTGTTTAGTTGCACCGTCGTTGTCGTTTCTAAACCTTTGATAGTTGAAATCTGAGATTCTAATGATATAAAATTTAGCTTATTTATGATCCTTACGCTAATTCCATTTTACTTTTAATTGTTTGATGTCGATTTTGCTTTATTCTGAGTTTTTGTTGTGTTAACTAGTGATGCTACATACGCTTCTCCTTCAATTCGATTGCACTTGAATTCGACAGGTGGTAGATTAGTGGAAAATTTTGTTTGCTCTTAACTCTAAACCTCAAATTACATGGTTATGAACGACACCAGAGTGTTCTTGTTTGCTGTTTTCATGCTGGCACATCTTTGCTAGCCTGGCGTGTGACAGTAAGATTGATGTTGAAGTAGCTGAATGATATATCTTATGATCTATGCTGTTATAGCAGTGAAAATACAAAATTGCGGTCGGGACCTATATTTAAGATAGCGGTTATAGCAGTGGTGTAGCAGTCCAAAAATAGTGGTTCATATAATATTTCTTAGAATTATATATAATATGCCTACATAAACACATCGTTTGTAAAATAGGAAAAGTGTTCATAAACGAGCTAATCGTATTCAGCATCTGAGTCAACATCATCTAATACGTTCACTTCTTCGTTTAGGCTAGCTTCCCACTCTTCCCCTTCTCCCCCTTCATCTCCACCGTGATCATCATCATCCCTGTAGCGCTCTCTTTTACTTCTTGTACTTGGCCCAACTTGTTCATTACCTCCCAACTATCTAAAAACATTGACTGAAAATAACCCCCCCCCCCAAAAAAAAGTAACGTTGTTATCGAACACAATTGATCTTAAATATCGGTCAAAATTGCGGTAAATTGCGCCAGTAATTGCACTACCGCAATTTAAACCGCAATCTGACCACCGTTATTTTGCTAATGTTCGTTATTTGAGATATTGCAGCAATTAACAGCATAGCTTATGATTATTCTAAGGTCTGAAGCCATTGATGGTAGGAATATAATGTTCATTATATTGCTATTCCATGCAACATGTTAACCTTTCTAGCTCAGATAGAGTTCTCTTTGAAAGAGTGGGAGCTTCATAGATTTAATTTGGGTGCTTGTGCAGTTGTGACTGATGGTATCATGTGATGAACTACATCATAACAATCGTCTTAAAATTGAACTTAAAGAAACACTGCTTCTAAGATAAATTAATCGAGAAATCAAATGTTTGTTGTAAAACAATTGGTCCATACCAAAACCTCAATCCAAAGTAACAGTTACCCAAATCAACGAATTACCAGATTAAACACCCATGAATGATTTATTCGTTTAGATCTATTTGCACCAAATGGTGAAATTGCGACAATCCAACGCATATAACATCATATCATAATTCAAGACCAACATCAAAACATAACAAAAATGGACTGTTAGCAATCATCATGTGCAAGAAATTATTGAGGTGCAGAATGTATTGTGCAGACAATTTAACCAAGTGCAGAGTAATATCAATGTGTAGACAACTAGAACAAAGTCAGAAAAATTACATGCAGAAAATTGCTATGTGCAGGAAATGGAATTTAATGCTGAAAAAATATGTGCAGAAACTATCAAAAGCAGGGGAAAACTATGAGTGCAGAAAGCAAATGCTATGAACAAATGATGCAGAAATATAGTGCAGGAAATTAAATGATATTAAAGAAGGGCAGTAAAATAGTTGCAGAAAATTGAATGATGTGCAGAAGTTTAAGGAGCAGAAATTTAAGAAGATGCGAAAAGGATTAACGAATGTGCAGCAAATGACAAAGCGAATAAAGAACAATGACTAAAAGCTATAAAAGAAGCTGGAAATAAGTAATAAATGAGAGATATCAATATAAACAACCCCTAAATTCTAAGGAAGTGATAAGCACACCAAGAACAAATTAAGCATGGAGCACAAGAGCTTATTGAAATCCCAAAGGTATGGAATAACGATGTGTATTGAAATCCCAATAGTATAAGCGTGGTGCACAAGAGCTTATTGAAATCCCAAAGGTATGGAATAACGATGTGTATTGAAATCCCAATAGTATAAGCGTGGTGCACAAGAGCTTATTGAAATCCCAAAGGTATGGAATAACGATGTGTATTGAAATCCCAATAGTATAAGCGTGGCGCACAAGAGTTTATTTCTCCCAAAACCAAATGCGTATGTAAATACTTGAATCTAGAGAGCGTTTTTAGATAAAATCTAGATAAGTGTGGCTGAATAATGATGAAAGAACCATAAGAAGTATTAACAGTCTTTACAAAAAGTCTTAAGTACCCTCTTAAAACCGGGCTGTCAGGCACCGTGCACGGCCCTTACAGAATTGCTCAGGGCTGCAAAGGGCATCGCTCCCCTGACAGAAGTGCCTCACGACTCTGACATCGGAAAGAAGGTTTTTTGATGTTTTTGGAGGGTTTTCATCTTGCCCATGACACAAAGTGTCACGCCCCTGAAGAAAGTGTGCAGAAAAGTTTATTTTCTTCATCTTCTTTTCATTTCTATGTTTTTGGGCATATGCACCATGTATGTATGTGCAGTGAAGAGTCTATGAACCTGTGTTTGGGAGCATCATGGTAATCTAGAGTTTTTATGGTGAATAAAGATGGCACACAATCGCTCTATGAACTTCTAAAACTACGAGCACCCAATGTTCATTTTTGTTGCATGATTGAAAACCGCTGTCAATCACTTACTTCCCTAATCTAAATGTTCTATATGTGATGAAATAACGGCTAATATGAAGATTTTAGTTGCTTACTAGCTCAGAGCATCACGCCATCACCATCCATATCCATAACAATTCCTTAATCGGTAGCCCGATCTTTAGCTCTTTATCCTAATCCAAATTACATCCAGGACAACCTTCATAATGTAGTCTGTTCAAAAGTGGCTTTTTATACTCATTGCCACCCATTTTATACCAACTAAAAGAATTTATTTGAACACAAATTCAACTAGTCAAACCCACTTCCAAAACTCTACGATTTGATTGTAAATAAATGAAGAGAAAAATGATTGTAATTGTTGAGGTATGGATCGCTAACTCCAATTACTACTATAAAATGGGTCTTGTCAGTTTGGCGTAGGACGACATTTACAGTGCCGAATGGGTCAATTATAGTTGTCCTCTTGATGGCGGTGGTTCAGACATTTTATCAAACAGGTATAATGCAATTAACGTGCAAATGGTGAAATAACCAAGAACTCAAGACCAAATACGTAAATAATCAAGAAAATCATCAAATAGATAAGTAAATACTAGAAGGAAACAGATGGAGCAAAATCAGATGGACTGAACCTATTATAGGGTTTTTGTACCATGGCCTGTGATGCCCTGAGCAAAGACCTATCTCGCCCACAAATTGGGTTGGCCCTGGTTCACTTATATCGTATGACTTGAACAACTTATGACTTGTAGTCGTGTATAGAAATGTACGTGAAGACCAATTTGTAACATCTGAACGGTTTTTAACACCATTTTTAGAGGGAGCGACTTCTTGGCATGAATAGTAAACTATTCGTGCATGGATGAAGGCCTATAATTCGGACATCCAAAACGACATTAGTTTATTATTGTTGTTTTTATATTCAGTATGATTTGAATAGAAAATGATATTTTTAGCAGAATCTGTTATTAAAAACCCAAAATTGAGAACCAAGTACGTTATCAATGATTTGATTTTAACGAGATTGAATTTTTAAATACTTTTAGGATATTGCCACATGCACATCTGTCTATACCTTATAGCTACCAATCATCATTACAACACTATTAATTACTTTAATGTTTTCTCCCTCCTTTCTCTTCTATCTTACCATTACATTCATGATTAATTATTTTTTTATTATAATAATAAATTCTTTTATATAATATTTTTTATTACA